CTCTCACGAACCGCATCAGAGCAGGTGTCCATTCCCAGAGTGATATGAAAAGCAATGCTTCTCTGAAAACGTGGTTCGGTTTTGTTTGTTTTCTGTTTAACATTCATGCTTGAACTGGTTTAATAAAGCACTCGATCGCAGTGGGATTCGAGCCCTGACAGCAGTTCAGTCCTAACTTAATGGCACGGCAAGTGTCATCATGTCCAACTCGCAGCATCTGGGAAGTGAACAGGAGCAGACTGTTCTGCTCTACATGCAGGTGTGATCCCATCAGTCTGAGTGCTACTGTGAGAACGCGAGGCGGGAGAGCGCAGGAGGTGTGAAGGCACAGGGAGAGTGTGTGTCTCTAGTCCATGTGTGTGTGTGTGTGTGTGTGTGTGTGTGTGTGAAAGAAATCACATGGCCTCTGAAATGAGTCTCAGTGTGAGAACAGCATTAGAGCAGTGAACACACAAGCAGGTACAACAAAGTCAACAGTGAAAACATTAGTCCTATTAATAATCTCACCAACCTGTCAGTGCTCCGTTGTAGTGACAGTTAGTTTCTTGTGTTGACTGGACACTAAGGTTGAGTTGACCCATGGGACCAGATGTCTGGGTGCTGACAGAGACGAACCAGCTGCAGCTGAAACACCCCTCTAATCTAGAAAAGTCAGTCTATAATCACATACAGACCAAGTGACTTGTACTGTAGACTTCACATATAGTACATTCAAATCTGATCAATATTTACACATCATATACATGAATAATATTTCAAAAAATATTTCACATGCTTTTAACATGTCGAAACTGAGCCACAGGGACACCTTAAATATAATACAATCCCAAACAATAGACTGGCAATAAATACTATTAAACCTTTAAGTATTCAGCTTTTATTGAGAATGTGTCAGAGAGGCATTGACTAAATGTGACAGTTAATTTTGAGATTGTAGTTTTTGGTAATATATTGGACTGCATTATATTAAAGGTATTCCTGTTATTGTGTCATCCCAACTAGCTACTTCAGCCAGATGACTTCCCATAATTGTTTTAACACCTGATAAATCATAAGATAAACGTCTTCTTTAATGTTCAAAGTCATAGTACTTTCTTTCCAAGAGTCAGAGAAGGAGATTGATATCTCTCCCATGTCTGTAAGGTAAATATGAAGCTACAGTCAGCAGCTGGTTAGCTTAGCTTAGCATAAAGACTGAAAACAGGGGGAAACAGCTAGCCTGGCTCTGTCAGAAGGTAACAAAATCCACTTACCAACACTTCTAAAGCTCACTGATTAACACACTCTCTCTAGTTTGTTTCATCTGTACAAAATAAGTAAGTAAAGTAAAAATTATTGGGCTTTTTGGAAAGAGCCAAGCCAGTGGTTTCCCTGTTTCTAGTTGTGCTAAGTTAAGCTAACCAGCTGCTGCTGTAGCTTCACATTTACCATATAGACATAAAAGTGGTATCAATCTGAACATGTAACTCTCTGTAAGAAAGCAAATGAGCATATTTTCCAAAATGTCAAACTGTTCCTTTGAATGATGTGCTTACCTTCTCCCTGCTGTATATGCAAAACACCAACAAGATATTACACTGTTTGATATAAACTGGGGTGCAAAAAAGTTGCATTTATGTCAAGGAGCTTTGAGAGATTTTATTTAAACACTGTAACATTGGAATATATAATAACTAAAGCTAAAGCAAAACTGCATTTAATTTTTCACACTTTAATTGTCCTTAGACGTGTGCCTCATCTGCTTTCTGTAGACTGACCCTCCTGAACTCTGACACATTAACGTCTCGTCTTCTCGTGACAGTCAGTCACTGTCTTGCTTGTGTGCATGTTCCCCGTTCTGTTCAGACTACACAAGATACCATCTAGCAAAACTTTCACCGCAAAATTAAGGCAGAGACAATATTAAACACATTCAAAGAATTTTTTGAGTATTGATGTTTTTGAAGTGTATCAACATTTTTAAAGCTGCCTTGGAGCATTTGAGCAGGAGGCAGATCAGATCATCTGCTGTCTGAACACATTCTTTGGAGCAGTTCTGTCAGCACCACTGTGAGAATGCTCTATCATACAACTCCATATGTAAACAGACTTCAGTATTTAATAGAGTGCAAATTATATACACTTGTGTGTTTGTTGTTGTAGGATCTTATTCAGCTGCAAAGGCTGTTTGCAATACAGTGATGACAGCATAACTGCTTCCATTGCTGCCTGAGGTGAATGTAAGCTGTGTTTAGCATGGGCTTGCTGCTGGTGGTTACATTAAAACATCTCCCAGAGGTGGAAATGTGTTTTTCACATTTCTTACAGTGACTTCACACACCAGTGAGTTTCCTAATGAAACAACTTACAGCAGTAAGTAATGTCAGTCTCACAGGGCCTCTGCCAGGCAACGGTCAGTACCTTCGCTTGCTTCCAGCCGCACCTGCCGGCTGGTTTTTCTGTTTTCCACCCAGGAGTTGTGTATGACAGTGCCCCCTGGTGAAGGGTCTACTTGGAGCAGGGACACCACCCTCTTTTTAACCTTGGCACGTAGGGCCCGGCGCAGTTTCTGTCGGGTGAAAGCATAGAGCAGTGGGTGGGAGACAGTGGTGCCATAAGCTAGGGCTAGGAACCAGAGGCGCAGGCTGATCAGGGCATCACTGGGGCCAATGCCAAGGATTAGCACGTTGGTCACAGAGAGGGGAGCCCAACAACCCAGGAAGGTGGTAATGATGATGAGGGACATCCTGAACACTCGCCTCTGGCGCTCTCGCCTATCCCTGTGTCGCCGCACCGCCCTCCGCAAGGCAATGATGGCTGACACGGAGGCCTGAACACCCATGGTGGCTGGCATGGGGGTGGCCGCACCCATGTCAGAGATGACCAGCGGGGCAGATGAGGACAAGGCAGGGGGGGAGGTAGCTGTGGGGGTAGGGGAAGGGGATGGAATGAGGGGTGGGTGGCTGAGCTGCTTGGTACCATCTGTGGTGCACTGCTCCCCTCCTACCTCCCCACCATCGATCATTCTGGGCCCTGCTTTCTTCTTTTTCTGTCTCTTGTTGTGCCCGCTGCAGGAGGGGCCTCTGAATCGCTGATTCTTCTTCATGTGGGAGCCAATGCGGATGTTCAAAGCCCTCAGTATTCTGGAGTAGGTGAACAGCATGACTGCCACAGTGGTGAAGAAGATGGGTATCTGCAGGATAAGATGATAGTACATACCCAGCCTTGTGTGATAGCCCTGCCCACCAACACACAGCAGTGTCCGGTTACGCCATGCTGGCACCACTGTGGCACTGATGCCATATGAGGACAAAGACAAGGGAGGCACTTGCCCTTTCTCCTCTGATGCCTCTCCACTGGACCACTGATCCTCCAAGAATGGGATAAAAAACACAGCTACTGAGGTGACCCAGACAGCAACCAGGAGCAGCGCCGCTCTGCGTGTCGTGAGAAGCCTGTTGGCTGGCCGCACTGAAATGTCATATCGGTCCAAGCTGATAACCAGGATGTTGATGGCTGTGGCGATGCTCGCAAAGGTGACACAGGCTTCATGGAAGCAGCAGAGCAGGGCCAGGTTTGGTCCTGGAGGCAGCAGCACCACCACCAGAGTGAGGGGCAGACACAGCACACACACCACCACATCCAGCACGTGCAGATTGACAGTCACCATATTGCTCACTGAGTCCACTAAATTGGATTGAGAGCAGTAGAGCACTAGCACTGTCAGGTTGCTGCTGAAACCCAACACCAGCTCCAGCATGAGGAAGGCTGTGAGCGACACCTGGAAGCCCAGTGAGTACGGCACGTACCAGGACGCGGGGCTGCTGGACGAGCCCCCTCCTCCCTGCTCCTGAGGGACCATCCCCTCCAGGCCCGCCACTGTCCCAACCCAGTCAGTTGTGGCTGGGCTTGAGGTGTAGCTGTCAGTCTCCATGACGACCTCTCAGTCCTCACATATTGTATCTGTCACACCGTTGATGAGCTCCCATGATGCACTAGGCTGAGCCTCCACGATGCAGATATGAATAACAGCTTGATGACAGCGCTGGGGAGACGGGAACACAATGCAGACAGATTAGAAATGAACCGTGGAGGAGAGAAACAAAACACATTATTCTCTCTCATGGCGGTCAGACATCTGTAAGGCAGAGATCATAACCTATTTTTCCCTATCTTTCTTTCTTTCTATCTATCTATCTATCTATCTATCTATCTATCTATCTATCTATCTATCTATCTATCACATATGCATATATATCAACCCCAGCATCTGCACATTGAACAAATGCTACATTATGCATCAAACCAGCCTTCAGTCTGTCTCCTATCAGTATCTCTGATTACCTGAGACCTACACACATGCTGTCAGAACAGGCCGCCACAATATCCCTAAAGTGTACTGGGGCCCAGGGGAATGGGCAAATTGAATGAAGCTAAGTAATCAGACCCACAGGTAATCAATTGCCCTCTCAGTGGATCAGTAAAAAAAAACAACACATTCAGCAACTTACACAGAACTGGTCATGATCTCTGCTCTGCGAGCTGGAGCAGACCACATGATTTATTTAAAATACCTTTACTGGCGAAGGAGCGTATAAGTGTTGGAAGGTTTCAGCCAAACTGACGACTATTTCAGTTCTTTCCCTTCAGTATGTGTGTCACATCTGAAGAGTTCATTCACTAAAATATACTGAGGAAAGACGTCAAGAAATAGCTAAAGAATAAACAAAAAGTGAACATCAATCATGATGCAAATTTCAGGGATAGCAGTTTATCTATCTGCTGGTAGGCATGGCAGGTCATTTTCTAAATAGAAATTCATACAGGTTCATTCACATAAACTCTTGAAGAACATTTTCTGTTTCTTCACTTTAGGGGTCTGTTCTCCTGTTGTGTTTAAAACGAATACTGATGTAAACACACCTTTAACAGCGTCAGAAAACAGTGAGTTAAATTTAGTTTTGGTCCAGTTGTTAATCTGTGTAATAAAAGCTCAGAGTGGAATTGATAGATGATGATGATGATGATGATGATGATGATGATTATGATTATTATTATAAGTGGTATTACATGGACCATAAAAAACAGTCACTGTCCAATTAAAAAGTACTGACTACACTTCAACATCTGAATCTAAACAGTGAGTCAAGACTAGTGTTAGCTGCTGTTATTCAGTGCTACAGTTCACCAGTCACTGATGACTTTTATTGTGTTTTTTTGTTCCAGCTGTATGTCACAGCTTGTTGGCACTGGTATGCACACAGACAGTATCTTCCTGTTGCACTGACAGCCACATGATTAAAGGCAGTGTGTAAAACACAGTCGCTCGTCATTGATTAGAGGGCACCAACTGATTGCACCTGCGGCAAATCAACTGAATGATTAAATTCACAGCTTCCTTTCCCCCTGAATTCATCAAGAGGTGGAAATCTTCATCATCAGGTGTTTAAAACACTTGATGGTGAACTTACGAGTCAAGAGTGCGGGAAATAAACAACAACGCAACTAATGAACTCTCAACTATGAACCTCTGCACAACTCCATTCTGGCAACGAGACATTCAGTTGAGTGATGGGCTCATTTTCTCCCTGCTTCTGTTTCCACGGCAACCACACTTTAAGGGCCTAGATTAATGAGGGCACAGGTGCTGTAGTATCGAAGTGTGTGATACTGAGCTCTTTGGTGACAACCATGCTAGTGACAGTTAGACAGTAGTGTAGCAGAGTTAAAATACCTCCAGGTTACAACACAGAGAGCTTACGACACGTTACAGTCCCATGGAAAAAAGATAAAGGAGACAAAAAAGTAAACAGACTGGGGCACTCTTGTTGGTCTGGTGAGTTGTGTGTCAAAATGTCAACAACAAAGTGCAATGATAAAACCTTCTGTTACTGATATATTGCCCCCAGTAATCCATATAAAAATACGACTACTTGTCTTGTTGCTTTTTTATGTGTTCCTGTTCTCCCTGGGCCTTGTAAACAGCAGAATGTGGGAAGAAATGGAAGTCCCCTAACAACAATATCACTTGTTGTTAGGGGACAACTATTTCCAGTAATATAAGGAACTTCATGGAAACAAGGTGAAAGTTTCTACGACACTATCTAAGCTAGCGAGAAAGCAGTTAGCACATACAGATTTGTGGTTTAGTTTAAAACTGTAAGGAGAGAAATGTCTCTTGGGATGTAAGGGGAAATGAAAGGAGGGACACTGGGAAAGTAGAGTGAAAAAAACAGGGTCAGAGAAAACAACAAGTGAAGAATTGATGGTGTACATGAGCACTGTGCTCGATTCATGTTGAACGTTTCCAGCTGGTCCGAGCGTGAGTAGACCCATCTGATTGCCACCAGAGGCTGGGATTGGGAAAGAGCAAAGATAAAGGGACAGAGGAAGGTTGGATTGGAAGCTGGAGAGAAATGGAAATGTAGATTTTTGGAGAAGCAGTGGATTCTTGTTTAGAAGCGGGTATGCATCACCTGTAAGTAGGACATCTGAAGCGCCTGCTGGAGAGCTGAGACAGATTACAGAAAATGGCAGAGTGAGGGAAGGAAGTAGAAAAGAAGGGCGAGCCAGCTGTACTGGTAAACAAGATGTCCCAGGGAGCAGAGGTGGCGGCTTTTTTTCCACTCTAACGTCTTACATCAGCCTTTCCCTAACTGCTGCTGGTTTCCTGGTTGCCTCCAGTTCCCAACAGACCACTTCAGTCCCAAAAGACTACACTCATGATTGCCTGAGTGAAAAGCTGCATGATGGCTGCACAGGTTAGACGTTTAGCACAGGAAAGGTGGACAGATATTGCCAATCTTGAAATCGCAGCAGAAAAGCAATCTGATTGTAGCAAAGCACAGCAGCTGATGAAGACTAGAGCGCCATATAATACACAGGTTTCCCTGTAATATGGGGATTAATAGTTTTGCTGTGCTTAATTTATATGCTCTATTTTTTTTAGGGAGTTATGGTTTTGGAGTGATTTTAATACAGAGCTTTCTCTTGGGGGTAAGTTTTCTCCTTGGAACTAATCCGTGACTTTGGTTTTCTACATGAAGTGTAAAAAATCAATCAATACGACCCTGTGTTGACCCACGGGTGCCCTTTTCTAACCCTGGTGAGCACTGCGCTGTTCCACACTGTTCTTTATCCACAAAATGGTTATTGGAAATTTTATCCGTCTTGAATCTGAATGATTCCATTTAGGTTAGGTCTCGTAAGGTGATGTTCAGAGCATGAAACAGGGCGCATTTCTTAAGATGGTTTCCTAATTAAGTCACCTACGAGTGGGAGATGCTCACCAGAGAGTGACTGTGTGTGTGTGTGTGTGTGTGCGTGTATGTGTGCGTGTGTGTGAGTGCGTGTGTGTGTGTGTGACCTTTTTCTATCTTAACAGAAGGCAATAATCTCACTTGGATCCTGACATACTGAGGAGCAGGAAAAGGTCACATCAAGGTGATGCTTTTAGTATAAGTGGTTGTACTAGCCCATCAACACCTTGTCCCTTTAAACCTCTGAATATACAATATAATGAGGTTGAATGTGAGAGTGATAACACATTTTCATCTGAATATCTCGTGATGATGTCAAAAACCAAAAAGTGTGAGAGTTTTCTGAAGATGTTAAGCCTGGGGAATAGTTACAGGAATAGTTTGACACTTTGGGAAATGCACTATAGTCTGGGACCAGGGGGAAACATCCAGCCTGACCTGTCCAAAAGTGACAAAATCAACCTGCCAGCATCCGCATGAAAACAGAACTGTAGAAAGACAAGTCATGGTTTTATAGCAGCTATTAAACTGGATGGATACTGAACGTTTTTTTTTTTTTATAAAAAAGCTACAGTATATGTAATGTACTTTTCACTTCTCAGCATATTTTATTGTTTGATAATAAACTTTCTTTCTCCTGGTCTTGTCTGGCTACAGTTGATGACTGATATTTTCCCAGATATGCAATATGTAAACATTAATTTTATTCTGCACAGCACTTGACATAACATCTGGGTCCTGATCCCTAATCCTTTGCTTTAGATTCAGATGGGACGAGTGTTTCTGTCTTTTGTTTGAGCTCATTTTGGCTCTATTTATATGCAAATATTTACAATGTGTAATAAGCTATTTTTTATGTGACCTGTTTATGGATGCTTGTCTTGTTGCTTTGTGATCCCCTTAAGCCAGCAAAACAACTTTTTTCATGATAATCTAATCAAAAGTTAAAACTTTTCAACAATTTAGAGTCTAAATATTAGACATCAGGTTTTGCTGTCAGTTTCAAACGGGATATTCTTTCAATCTGATTGAAAAATTTCTTTTTATTTTTGCTCTGATTTTTCTGATCACTATTGGTTTCTCCACCTAAATAGTCAGACTTGAATGCAACAATTGAGGCCTGTTTCTTGGGGGTTGTAGAAAGTCACTGTAAGAAATCAATGCAGGTTTAGGAAAGGTGTAATAAAATTTGTAATGACTACACAAAACAATGAACACAAACTGGTCAGATAATATAATAGATACATTTTTACTTTAACGGTGCATCAAGGGTTCAGCAGGGGGGTGATACACCATATCCAGAGCCACCTTTTTCCATATGGCTCTAAGTGATGCTCTACAAACGTTTCTCCTTCGGTGTAGGAAGTGTGTGACAAGAAACTGTATAGCATGTATAATTGAACAGCGACACTCTGCTCCCTGAAGCAGCAGCACCAAGATTAAAAAGATGAATGGCAGTAAAGATAATCTTGCTATTCCTGTGAGACAAGCTGATGTAACAGGTTGTCAAAATGATATAAAGCAAGAAGTCTGGAATGCAGAGGAAAAGTACATGAATAGTAATGTGGAATATATTTTAATGTAGAAAATTAGATTTTCATCAACTGCACTGCAAAAAGTTTATGATTAAATCAGCCTGGTAGCAACATGTGTTGGATATGTTCATCTTTCGCTC